AAAAGATAGGGTCTGATTTTTATTTGCACTAATCTATTTCCCCAACCGTAGCAAAATAAGGGAACAGCTAGCGTATTTTTTGATGTACCCATTTTAAGTACCTTTACATTACTGGATCGCTGTAAGATTTTCTCGTAGTAGAGAGTGGAAGGCACGAAGGCCACCAGCCAGATCCTCAGCCAGTGTGAATTTAGAGCTGAGGATCTGGCCACATGTCAAATTAAACAAAGGCATTTTTGAACTACCTGTTTATTAATGGCATCTGACCTACTTTTACCAGCTCTAAGGACTCAGACTTCCCCTTCCCGAAAATAGAAGGTGGCATGGGGAACAAAAACAGTCACTGTGGACAAACTAATGGGCATCAATGTTTGCAGACATCCAACAATTAAATTTGGGTGGTTCAGTACATTTCTAATTAAGTACAATTAACATTTGTTCTTTACTTGTTCATTTTACATACCTCACTGATGTTCCAAATCTGGTTTCCCCTGATAATCTATCCAAGCACATCCTAATGATTCTGCCTTTCAATCCCTTATTAATACACTGACATAAACAATGCAGAAATGCAATTAGACTGCTATGCACACAGGGCCTGCCTCCTCTTTCAGTGAAGCTGGTGGGAGTCTGGCCATGCACTTTCATTACGATGGTTTCAGTCTTTCTATAGCTCTGCAGAAGTTTTGAGGAAAACCTCTAGTTTTTGCCTCGCAGAGACCCACAACATGCTCCTCTTCCTCCCTCTGTGGTGCTGGAGAGCTCTTTCCATAGGAAATCATTCATGTGACCTTACCTTTACACTGCAGACAAGCCTCAAAGGGAGGTAATATTCCCTTCTTATCACTCTGTGTTAAATCAGCAGTGATTTCAATGAGGACCCCCAAGCACCAGAGCACTGCAGATGTCGTGGTTTCCCAGATGAGGTCTTTGGCAGCAGTACCAGCTTAGCCATTGCTGCACAGCCTCTGGTCCCTGCTGCCTACTTCATGTATTCAGCCCTTCATTCCCAATCCCACCGTTTTACCACCAAGAAGAGTTCATATCCTGACACCATAGTCAGGGGGGCAGAGAATCAGGTACCAGTCTTTCCAATTACTGTTTTTTTAAGGCATCTCCACATTTTTCTCTCCCTCATGCACTCACACAGACACACAAAGAAAAAATGCAGACTGATGTGACGGCAGGGTTGTAAAATAATAATCTGATATTCAGTTTGAGGCTAAACAAAACTGATAGCTCAAGGAGAGAGGGAGGCAGCAAGGTAATGGGAGAGTTGGAACACCCAAGGTAAAATGTCAGTGTTGCATCTGTCTGCAGTTTTGGAAGGGCAAATCAGTCAAACCTTGGGCAAAGCATGATGAAGATATCTCTTGAACTGCCCACATGGAAATGTCCAGAGAGAGAAACTGCCCCTAAACGACACTGCACAACCGCTGAGGAAACCAGCGCTTCCACGGAGCAACCTCAGCATCCCACGCGTCCGTCTTGGCAATCTCTGCCAGGCCATTTAAGACAAACACAAATCTGCTGAAGAGATTCAGGTCAAAAACCATTTACACCAAGCATGTTCCCAGCGTGCCGGCGCTCGTTCGCCAGCCTCGGAGCTGATGAGTTTTAGGTGGAGCCCAGCCTGGCTGGCTCCAACCCAACCTGAGCCAAAACAAGACCAGGAAGAATAACTCCAAGGAGGTAGGGAAGAGGCCAAGGAGGCTGATGGACGCTGCACGATAAGCGTCCCACGGGCTGTCTTCTTCTATACCCACCGAGAAACTGGGGGCTGTCCAGCCTGGGAATGTATGTGTCCGCTGCAGAGCGGCACAGTAAGCTGGAGTCAGATAACAGTGGAAAAAGAAGTTTCTCGCTCATTTAAGAAAGATTAGTCTTTCAATTTTTTTAATTGCATTTTATTTCAACTCTCATTGCCTATTCTATTGTCTTTTGCCTGCTATCTCCGAATTTACTAGCCCTGCATAAGCTTTACAAATCCCCAAAACATTACTTTTTGCCCCGGAGAGTTTTTCTTGACTCTTCTATGTTTTCTTGCTGGGGTGCATATCAGAAGAGAATCTTTCCACCTATCCATCTAGTTAGCTAGCTACCTAACAAAAGGTTATTTAATGGCAATAGAGTTGGTTTAAGCAAAGTAATTTTAACAGAAAAAAAAGAACGGGGAATTTTAATGATGGTGACTCCACATCCCAAAAAGTCACATTTGTTGAGAAATTTTACAGCTTTTTTTTTTTTTTTTTTTTTTTTTTAGATTTACTACCAGGAAACTATGGAAACTGTTTGATTTGGCTGGCCTCCTGTAATTGAGATTACAAGTAGAGAGGAGAGTTATGCAAATTGATTGTATCAATCACAAAGCATTAAAATTTATCTGCATTTTATTTAAAAGCAATGGAATCCATTGAGATATTTTTAGATTTTTGAAGCAGAAATACTGTCTGGAACAGAAATTGAAAGAAGCAGCCAGATAACCTAATCATTTCTATTAAGGAGCCCATAGGCAACAGTCCTTCAAAAATAAAAATATCTAATCTATGCACTATGCGTCATTCCCCAGCTTGCAGTGAGAGTACTCAAGTGATATGAAGTTAAGCACATATGTAAATCTTGGAGCCAATGGATCTGTGCACTGCAAGGTCTTTGCAGCAACAGCATCTTTTTACTCGGAGTGCATGCTCTGTCCCATGGCACGGGACTCAGAAACTTGATGAGAATCCCTACTGCCATACACTGAATAATGGTAACCTGCGGGGGTTTATCAACTTAAGGTACAAGATACATCTGTGCACAGAAATAGGCACTACTTGAGCACACACAAAGCAACATTTTAGCCTTGGAAACCTAATACTGGACAGGTAAATCCAAAGAAATGCTGTAATGGCAGAATAAGGTACGTTTTTTATCTGCTGCACAAGGTACACGCACCTTAAATCTGTTGTTTAGGCAAACCTTCCCTCACACAAAGAGGAAATTACAGGGAAATAGGCGGAATTAAAGGATTCTTCAGTTCTTCAGGGGGAACACCTGAACTGGCACAGACATCAGCCTGAGCAAGGCATGCCAGCTGCCAAGGGAGTCCACTCTGCTCCCTTCCCGGAGCAGGATCAAAAAACGTAATTATTCAGGTATTTCTGCCTTTCCACGATAGTTAATTGTCACCATATTATTCAGAGGGAGTCATTCCACTCCTCTTAGCAAAGCATCAGAAATTGTGTTCTCCAGATTACTTCTTCAATGAGCATTTAAAGGAGAAGGAAGGGGAGGGGGTTAAAGAGAATCATCACAGAACAATTATGAAGGCAATTTGGAAGCAAGTCTGGAAACAACCTTGTAACAGAGCCAATAGCTGATTCAAATTGTTACATTTCTCCTTTGATCACCTGCTCAAACACACTTCTGATTAGCATTTAATTGAGTCTACAGTTTAGCACATTATTAAACACCTGCTTGCGGATATTAATTTCTATTTCTGACGACACTCTCTCCTATGCTCTAGTGCAGATCTGTGCTTGTTAACTGAAGGAAATATTTGACAATGGACAAACACCACCAGAACTCCCAAAGAAGAACCAACCGTTTTATCAGTGCCACACTGTAATTTCAATCCAGAGTACGCATAGATGTATAAGCCCTTGAAAGCAACTAAAAGATTGAAAATTTTCATATACGCCTTTCACAGGGTTTCTCTACTTAAAAGATATTGTGATTTCTTTTCTCTTACATCTTGCACCTATAAGCAAAAATAAATTAATACTCAGAATTCTGCAACTTGTCCTTCGAAGGTAACATAACAGATAGAGGAAATGCAGCCGTCACCTGTCCTTGAAATGGAGAATTTCAGGGTATACCTATTCCAGCAAAAGGAGAGATTGCTAGTGCCACCTCTTGGTGAGAAAGACACAGAAAGGCACCATTAGCGTAATCCCAAAGCAAGGCATAACTGGAAAAAACTATGTGTGCTTCTAGGAAGTGCTGACCACTCTCTCACTGATCACAAAGCACTTACAAGCACCCTTAATTTGAAATAAGATGTTTGTCCTATTTAATTGAATGAGGTGTCTTGTATCCCTGCAGTTAAGCATGTGCCTAAATGTTTGGCTGGACTGGCACTAAAACCCAATTCTATGAAAGCATTAAAGAAGTTAAATCCTATGTAAAGTGATTATCTTCAACTGAAACTGAGAAAGTGTTGGTTCCTAAACTTTTGTTAGGTTTTTAAATATCTTCATTGTGCCGTGATCCAAATACCTTCCATGGTTGAACCCTCCAATAGTAGCTTAACTCTAATGCCATTGTGGAGGTTGAGTGTTAATCACTAAGATTGTGGCAGATTTCATGATGCAGGAAGAGCTTTGGATAAATGAGTCAACACACAAACTTGTGATCATAAGAAACAGAGTTCAAAAGAAAGCTTAAATACAAAAGAGGATTAGTTAAGTGCCACATCAGCATCAAGTAAGCTTGTACGGTGGACACATTTGGTTTGCTGAACTGAATCTATGAGTCAACATATCATAAGAGAGTTTTGACCTTCAAAATGGAAAAAGTCTTTAAGATTATTTCCGCTGAATTTCAAAAGAAGCCACACAGGGGAATCACTGTGAGTGGAGGAAAGCAAGGGGGAAAGCATGGAAACCTCCTCCATGAGAAAGCATGTGAACTTTGCAAGACATTGTCTGCAAGGCTTCCCTCATAAAAATTAAAAACCAATTATCATCCCTGGACATTGCATGCATAATAGTGGTGAACTATAAATAAATCTAAGTAGCAATACAAAGTAACAAACAACTCTGCCCTCCATTTTCAAATAATGATGCAGAAAATATTGCGCTGTGCCTACATGTTGACTAAAAAATACATTGATTAAAAGTGTACAAAATCTACTAACTAAGCAATGGTCATGGCATGCTTTATTCTTGTAAAAAAGTAAATATTTAAATGTAATATAAGGGAAGACATGCTAAATAGAAGTAAGGAAGCTGTCCTACCTTGTTTTAAAATGGTTTTTTCTACAGGGATACCACATCCATGTAATTTTAGGCTGAGGAATACCATACACGGTGCATGTCAGCACTTGCTTGCTGCTCAGTAAATACAGATTGGGATCAGGGAATGATGATACGGCATTTTCGTATATCTGGGGTTTCACTGTAAAGGGTAAAAATTGGAAAGCGATTAAAACCAGCTCATTTCCAATGTATCATGATCATGAAAATACTACATTCCTGCAGGGTGAGTAATAAGAAAAATCTCCAGGAAAACAAAGAAAAACAGCAGGCCTAAGTCAAATCAGATGAGCGGTTAGTAAAACATTTAAGTCATCAGGAACAAGTATGTGACCGTGGAAGACAGAAACCCTTCTAATGAAAAACAGTGTCCGACTTCTGATTCCAAGATGGGCCTGTCACCCTGCATATGGGGCTTGGATTTGGGTCCATGAAAGTCAGTAAGAAAACCCACAATGACCCGAACTGGGCAAGATCAACGAAAATCTAGCTCAATGAAGATTTAGCATTTACATGTTCAGGAGAAGCGTGGGAACATGCTGTAAACCTACCATTTACTGTAAGAGTGACTGTAAGATTCTTAGACAAGTTCCACTGTCGTATGCTCAATATTATAGTGTAGTTTCCAGCATCTTCCTCAGCAACATCCTTGATGATTAACGAATAGTCTTTAACCATGTACCGGGCACACTTTTCAGCAGCAGGTAGCCCATCTTTTAACCTGTTTAAAAGAATTCCAGAAATCAAAATTTTGAAAAATGATGTTGCTTAAACTGCCTGCATTATTTCATTTCACAACATTTCTCAATCTTTGGCCAATAACTGAATTTACAGTCCGAGATTCTGTTTACCAGAGGCTTATCCTTCCCTTACAAATAAGATTGCTGATACTTATAAAGCACTTTGGAGAATACCATTCTATATATCAAAATGTATAAGGATCTGACAGGGCTCTATAGTATTGGAGAGTTGCTGAAAATTGCAACTCTGTCTCTAAAGATCCCAGTTTTCCATGCTTGTGCCGCCATTTAGTCTAGAAGGCAACCGTTTTGGCCAAGTCATTCACAGAAATAAAGGTTGCATCATCCAGCATTGACCATTTCTTTATGACCTCAGAATACATCCAGGGACAAAGTATTACAGTAGCCTCAGCACAGCTGTGATTTTAGGAAGAGGAAGAGTAAGTAGATTAGATAAGCGCTTAAGAATCAGATATCCTGCTATCATGTGAATGTTTTTAAAGATAACAGAAAATCAACATAGAAAGTACTAACTGTTGCTCACACACAGATTCCTGAAGCACAACATTTTTCTTCAAAGTCTAAAATACAGCGTAAAGCACATTTTGGTAGGTTGCTGTATGAAGGTTGACATGATTCTAGTAGAAGAGTGCAAAAGAGTTTCACTATGATGATGGACTTGATTAAAATGATTCACAGGGTTTTAGCAAGTATTTACAGAAAACTATTACTGTTATTAGAAGGGCACTAAAAATTGGGTCTAAGGACTATGGATTTGGGCATTTCACCGTACCTGTATTTTTAAAGAACCACAGAATAGTTGAGGCTGAAAGAGCCTCTGGAGATTTGAACTCCCTGTTCAAAGCAAGGTCAGAAGCTTGCCCAAGACCATTTTCAGTCTGGTTTTGAATATCTCCAAGGATGGAGACTCCACAGCCTCTCTGGACTACTTGTTCCAGCATTTGACCAACCTGACAGTGATAACTAACTAACTAACTAGGTAAATAAATAAATAAAAATTCTCGTTTAAAACAAGATCTTTTTGTATTTTAGAAGTTTTGGATCTGTATGTGTAGTCAGCAAGGCCAACCATTAAAGAAACAGAAAACACTGTATAAATGGCTAGCATCAGCTCCACTTTCACCCCTTAATTTTCCATGTGGAGCTATAAATGTAAGGGTTTTGAAAAACAAAACGTTTGGAGCAAAAGTAATTTCTGGCTGTGAGTAACATGAACTCTCACTGTTCTTGTATATATGGTTTGTTTTCTTAATCAGCCTTGTCATAGACCCTTTGTTAAAGTGCAATGAATTGAGCGAGAGCTCCTGGTGTTTAAAATTATTTAAACAAAAAACCCCTTCAGATCATGAATAGATAACATTGTTTTATATAAAAGTGTTTTGGGTTAATATGAAAAACTGCTCAAAAGATTTCTTAGCACAGCATATGTGAGCCAAAGTGAACGCTCCAGTCACTAAAGTAGATCTACAACCTGCAGATCACCATATAATAAAACCAACTTCCATTGTTTTTTTAATAGCTCATGTCTGTATGACTCAACTCAGTCAGCTATTTTAATTAAAACCTTCTTTTCTTTCTCCTACTGTCTGAAAAGCAAATTCAGGTCTCATATCTAGGTCTGAGTGAACTTGGACGCAACATTTCAGTGGAGGCTGGTAGAGACATTTAGCTGTAGAGTGTCCATTGGTTTCAATAGAAGACATATCTAACGTATTTGAGGATCTGAGCTTTAAACTTTCCAGATCTTCTTTTTTGCACCTGCAAAATGGAGATAATGTTCTCATAAATTGTTAAAACCCAGGACAACCCTGAAACTTCCAGTAAAACTCCATAGCTGTACTGTCTCCTGTTTGTTGCCGTTCAAGGGGTCTTATCTGAATATTTTACCAAGATATTATTTTTCACCTAAGAAGACATCCAGTATGCATATGTGGAAGTAACTGTTGTCCTACCATATAACCTCTGGAGAGGGAAATGCTTTCACTTTCATTGACAAACGATAGGATTTTCTCCCAGCTACAGCCTCCAGCGCAGTTTTTCTTCGACGTTTCAAATTAATGAACATTTTATCTTAAAAAAAAAAAAAAAAGGTGTACTGTATTACTGATTTTCAGCCTGCAAAAAGATTTGTTCTACTAAAGATAACAGGAATCCAAATCCAAATACAAATTATCTTCAATAATTTTGGTGTTCTTACATGGCAACAGCAAAAAAAAAGACTAACATCCTAGAGATGCATAAAATATAGAGAGAAAAATACCACAAATATACAAGAAACCGAGATACAGTTCCCAGGCCATGAATCTGCCTGGAGAAGATACACTCTAGCCAAATTCACATTGTTCTTCAGTCAGAAAAAAAGGCACAAGAGATAAGGTGGTTTGTGGTACATGGGAAGCTGAACTAGATGATCAGATGACCCTTCCACTCCTAAAGGCCAAGAATCAACAAACGTTCCAAAAGAAAATATTCTGCCAGAGAGGATTTAAGGGACCTTCAGAGAAACAGCAAAGGAAAAGGCAGAAACTTTCTGCATCACTGGTAAACAGCTGTTTCATGAAACAAACAAATCTTTATCACTTCATTGGAACAATCTCAACCTGCTGGAATTTGCTCTTTTCCAGTTGTCCTGCCCCATATTTCAAACTCTTTGGCAAGTTGATGGGTTTTACCAGAGGCAATAAAACACAATACTCATACAATACATTGGAAAATCTTTCTTTTTTTTTTCCCCCTCAAACTGCACTTGAGCAAAATAAAACATTCAAAACATGAAAAATTGTTTGAGTGTCCTTTTGATAGTAACTATGGTGCAATATTTACTCACATCATGGGCTGCATAAGGATGTTGGGTATCTGTTAAACAAGTGCAATATTTAATCACACTTGCCACGTACATTGAAAATAACATGCAGAGGGCAAACCAGTAGTTTAATTACACAAATCAAGTTATAAAGATACAACCTGATTCTGCAAACCCTTATTCACACGGGGTGTTTCTAATGTGGGTATCTCATAGATGGGGCTGCTTATGTGAATAAGAGTTTAACAGCTGGCTTCAACAGTTCCAGCTTCTCTGACTTTAATTTTAATCTAAAACTTAGTTTCTGACAGCTTCAGCTTATCTGTTTATGAATATAATAAGTCGATATCATGATTCATCCTGTGCTCCCAGTGACTTAGTACAAGGCCTAAATAGAGAAAATGGACTTAAATACTCTCCAAGAATACCAATATGGGGTGCTTAGTGCACACATCCAGATGAGAAAGAAAAGGTAGACCACTGAAAGCACAGAACAAATCAATATTCTGACCATGAGTCATCTGTTGTAGAGGACACCCACCAACCACTTGGTTTTTAATACCAATGATGCTCCAAAGATTCTGGGTAGCCCTAATTGTAATAGGATGGCACAGAGAAGGTAGCTTTTCATAGACACCCAATGCACAAAAGTCCTAATTCACATAAACTTGAAATAACACCAGAAATTTCCAGAATTCACAGAAGGCCCAGGCAGACCATAGGGAACTCATTTAAGGCTCCCACTGTAAAAGCATGCTAATGAGTTGCAGTATCTTGTGCTTGTTTAATTTTTTTGAATGGTCTAGCAGCTATCTGTAGAGCTAGTATACCTATTTATTCTTCATTTTTTATAGAAAATAATGAATAAGTACCACAGAAGAGGAAGCAGGATTCTTCTATTTAAGTTCAGCTTTTTATTTTTTTGCACACTATAACTTAACTGATTGCTTCTGCCAGAACTAACTGAGGACAGGGTCATCACAGTGTTTTGCAGACAAGAGTGATCAAACTGAATATTAACATGTCTACCGCCAACAGCACAAAACAGTCATGGAGCAAAAGGTACATATTCTCTCTGGTCTCTCTCCTTTTTCTGGCCATGACAAACGTGCTGTAAATTCACTTCCATTTTGTGTCAAGATGTAAAGCTATCGTATGACTGAAGTTGGTACATGAGCATTCGGTATTGTACAAATCTGTAACACTTCTTACCATAAACAATGACTGTCGTGTTAACAGCTTTGATTGATGGCCCGCTCTTCACATGGCAGGTATACTGGCCTTTATCAATATCACGCACTTTGTCAACAACGAGGATACTGTAAAAAATATTGGCTTCTGTATTCTTCTGGTCAATACGCTGCATTACAGAACCTCTCTTCCTTGCCTATAAAAGTAAAAATGAACAAGAAAGAGCTTAATGAAACCAATTTTCATGATTATTAAGATTTTTATTTTAAGGTACTGCCACCATACCTAAAAAAATTAATAATCCAGATCCCTCTGTGCGGCACAGACATGCAAAAGATGCCTAACATTTCCAGAGGCTCAACAATAAAAATTTTAAGTAACATTATACGGCAATTCATTATTATCTTCACCAAAGTTGTAATAGCATCCAAACTAGTTCTTTCCAGACAAAGATCATCCCTTCTATATGGCCTGCCGTACCAACATGCCCAGATCCCCGTTGCGCCTTGTCCAGCATTGCTTGTAAAAATCCCCAAAGCCACAATATGAAAAGCAGCACATGATTTGGTGCCTGGATTCAGTGTCCATAGACAGCAGATATATAGAAGAAGGCGGCATTAACACAAGAGGGGGAGAATTCTGGAAACGCTATAGATGGAAAAGAGACTAGATTTGGCAAGGGAATAACAGGGTGGAACTGAAGATAATGTGAGTCTGAGGAGTTATTTCCTGCAACTCCCCCTCAGCCTTTGGCCTCAAAGTTTATTTAACCCAGGACATTGTTGGTGTCTTATAAACACTGAGCACCCTTCAGTTGCCATCCAAATGAAAATAAAGCAGAATTTCACAAGTGTGGTGCCCGGCTAGGGCTTGGTAGGGCAGGAATGAGCAATATAATATATTTGAAGCATTTCTTGTTGCTAAGTTGTTTATTTCTGAGGTGAAAAAATGCCAGGGCAAACGGCTACAGTATGCAAGAAACAATTTCATTAATCTTCCCTATATAATGTAATCATAATTTCAGCTTGTGATTAGGCACAATGAGTGACATAATAAATGAGCTTGACTTGAATCACCAGCATAAATCAAATTGACATGAAAGGAATGGGAGTTGTAAACCTTAAAATAATGTCAAATTTCTTATCAGCTTTACACGGACTCCCTGGCAGTTATTCTGTGAGCGACAAATATTTATGAGGATGCCCCCGATGTGAGGGGAGGTGAAGCACATTCAAGATCGTTCCTGTAGTTGTCAAAACAAGAGGATTGTTCATGTGACACTTAACAAATGAGATTTTTGCTAGCTAAATAAAAATACCTTTTCTAAACATGCTCGAGTCAGGTGCCTGACTGTCTGCCAGTCTTTTAAATGGATGTGTTGAGAAAGACAGCCTCGCTGAAAACTTTCTTGTCACAAGAGTGAGCCCCTGCCTGGGACTGGGTGATAAATTTCTACCATTTCTGCAGGTCGAAAGGAAGCTCCCAGGGATGAAACAATTCTAGCGTTCGCTTGCAATTATGCAATATAACCAGAGTACATTGTGTAAACATGTTTACTTCTTCAATTAAGTACCAGAAAGAAAAAAAGAAGCCTTTAAAGACATGTCAGCAAGGGTCAAAACGATGGAATGCAAACCGCAGCAAGCATTTCGAGGCGAAACTCCTCCCGGGTTGCTAGATGCAGAGTGATCTATGGGAAACCCCCGGTTTCTTCATTTCAACCACAGCACTCACCTCTCCAGGATAAGTCCACGTCATCTGCACTCTGGTGTTCCAGGCTGCGGTGACGGTGCAGTTAATTGCCAGGCTGTCTCCTTTCAGCAACTTGACAAGACGCGGGGTGCTTAACTGGACATCAAAAATTGTGTTGGCTGCACGTGACGAAGAGAAAGAAAAGTGAATAATGTCACCAGGGCAGAGTGCTTAATGAAAAGATGGGGAGTGGAGAACACTACTTACTTTCTCGGTGCGTTAGGTACTTTGTGCTATACTTGTGTCCACCGACGGTTGTCTCGCAGCTCAGGAGCCCTATGAATTTGTAGGTCGCCTTAGGTATTCTGAAGCCTTTCATGCTGTCCCAGATTATTGTCTTGCCATCAGGAATTAGGGTTTCGCGTGGAATCTGGAAGTGTCAAACACGCATCATAAAAACAACTCATCCTCATGCCACTCTCTAATCAAAGCAGCCTAATAAAAAGGAATGGGAGAAAACACCCTAAAAAAATGCCAATCAAATTAGAAAGGACGACATTTAATTATGCAGATTTTTCAAGTCACATTTTCATCACAAAATAGAGGAAAAATCTGGGTGAAGAATGTGAATGTTTTATTTGTTTCCAAGATTTCATTATTTATAACAGGATGTAATTTATGACACAATAGATTGACACTATCATTAGCCTCAGCACTTGGGCTGCTATTCTGTTGGCTCCTGGTTGGCAGCTAAAGTGCTCATCTTGGCGAACCTTTGCAATTAAGTATACTGGTTTTACCAATGAGACACAAATACACGTTTTTCAATGGAGGTGACAAATGGACTTAATTTGCCATCATTTTGTGGCTTTAACAAATTCCTGCCAGGATTCAATCTGATGTTTCTCACGTTTATGTTGTCTAAAGGACTGGACCGTTTTTAAAAAAAAAAGTTAAGGACATGAATGCTTGTTCCAAAGCTGACAGGTCACAGAGTACATGTCTCTAAGTCATTACATATGACATGAAGTGAAAATTTTAAAGCCACGAATCTTCCTTGGGCATTTTTATTGAGAACTACTGACCATACTAAATGACAAAAGTGATACCGAGTAGAGATTTTGAAAGGATGCCTTGAAACACTAAATACATCACATTTCCACAGAAAAAGTATTCAATGCATTTTAAAAATTTAGCATCTGTAAGTCCCTCAGAAGCTGAGGGCCCAACAAGTAATTAGTATAAAGCCATCTGGTGTTTTTAAACTTGAGACCTGAAATCTAATACAGACTAAAATATTGCCATGTGTGATCAAGTGTTCACTTTGTCAGAAGTACAAATTATATTTTACATTAGGAGCCTTTGAGTTTTAAGCCCCAGTTTAATAAGGTGTCAAGAAAACCCTGAAAAGGCAAAGCATGACATAGGCATTGAAGTTCAGACAAGACCTCTTTTTTTCACATCACGGTTTTGTTGTTATGCCATAGCAATGGAATAAATGCCACCGCTTGGCCAACACAGAGATCAGCCATGAGTACAAAGCCTGGATGTGACTTTACTTTTATAAAGCCTGCTTTTATGGTAAAAATAACATATTTTAAAAGATGGCACATAGCAGAGTTTGAGTGAATTAATGCCCTAAGCAAAGACCTCTGGGACAACTAAGCACCTTGCAGCCCATCACCTCTCACTATGGCCTTTCCATCTTTTTCTTCCCCTTTATTTGAGCAGAGGGTTTGTACGCTGGCCAGCCCTCTCCTTCCTATGACCAAAGCCAACATGGGTGGCTGCCAGAGGCTAGGGGAAATGTGGCTGCCCAGCACCTTCCTGCATGGTCCAGCTGCTCTCCAAAACCCGGCATCCTCAACGCTGCACACTCAGCGCACGCCTAAAGCTACCCTTGAGATCACCTCCACTCATCTCATGCCATTTCCTCCAACAGAAACGCATGGTGAATCAAATGAACAATAATTACAGAGCAGAAAATGCTGTGGTAGAATTCCTTATCTTTACCACAACTGATAAGACGCTATAATAAGCATGCAAATCACAGGGGAAGTGTGTGTTACACACACAAGTAAAGCCCATTACATTACAGCCTGCTGGCTACCATTCAACAATATCTTGGACTCTAAGACCTCTGTTGCCATTCCTGTTTAAATAAAACAAATATTCAAGCTTTGGTTTAACTAGTTCATAGTTATGCTTTCAAGGGCTTCAACTGGATTTATCCTCTTGCTGTGTTGATAGAAACCAAACTGTTTCTGCGCATATTCCTCTACAGGTTTTCATATATACCATGAAGAAAGAGTCAAGTCAGAGCCTCCCTAGACTGACATTTCCCAGGGAATGCATTCCCTTCACATTAATTAGTTAATTGATGGATAACTGAATTTGTATTAGCCTTACTCCAGGAATGGGAGAGTAACCAAAAGACACAGGAAGTGTCTGTGTCTTGGAAATAAAGTGCTCATAAATACGATCCTGTTTTGCAACACCTAATGTTGTCAGTTGTCTGTATAGCCAACAGGGTCACCTTCTCCAGAGGCAAGTCTTTGCCTGCACAGTTTACTCATCTGACACCCCTCAAAAACAGCTAGAGCTACATCTTTGAGTGTAAATTTTTGCAGCTTCGAGACCAAGAAGTCGCATGCAGTCACATATGAAAGCATAACTTGACACTTTTAAGTTACTGTAAGGAAAACTTTAGAAAACTGAAGTCTATGACTAGCAAAAGACCACTGTGACACAGCCGGTCTGTGGCTAAGTCTTTTGGGAGGGGGCGGGGAAACAAAATACTGCAACAAGTCCCTTTCAGAGGGTAGAAATACCAGGATTTTGTCTCAGAAGAGAACAAGGGCGGTGGCTGGGTGCTCACCCTCACAGCTCTTCACAGGTCTACATCTTCTCCGTACTTGCTTCAGTTTCTTACCCAGCTCTCCTCCATGCCATTCTCCTCTGCCAACCCCACCGGTTCAGATGACCTGCTTCCCATTCTCAGGGAAGCACAGTTGTTTTGCTCTGCCCTAAACCAGCTTCCAGGCCACCACCTAGAGACACGGCATCATCGCCATGATGATCACTGCATGGATGGTACAGGACAGAGAATCCCAGAATCGCACAATAATTTAGGTTGGAAGGGATCTCTAGATGTCCATCCCTCATGCAGAGCAGGGCCAGTGTAGTTCAGGGCCTTGTAAAAAAACTTGGCCAACTGGTCATCACTGAGAGAAGTAGAAAACCTATGAAGAAACACAGTGCTGGAACAGTGAGATTTCCACTGAAGAAGCAGAGGATGAATCCAGCCAAAATGATAGGTTACAGATGGGTACCAGCAAATAGAAGCATTCAAAGATTCAGTTTGTTGCGACGGCTGCAGTAAACATGGAATTAATTGTCTACGTACTTATCTGCATGAACCACATTGCTGTGGCTCCCAGTGCAGTGTTGGACTTTTACCTTCTTTGTACTTTGTTTCAAACTAGACTTCAGTTTCTTTTGGTATAGGCTGTGCCTCCTTCTTTGCTCAGCACCAACCACTGAACCTTTTTGGTACCTGGTGGCATTAACACAGTACTACCACAAGGTTTTGGGCATATACGTATGGTCAAGGGTATATAGTCAAGGTGTGGTTCCCCACGTCTCCAAAGGCAGATTGTATTGGAAAGACCCAGCTGAAAGTATAGTAAAAATGTACGTTAGACTTTTGAATGCTTGTCTTTTCTTTCATGTTTCCCCTTCCATCAATTTGGGAAGGACGAAGTGACATTATTAAGAATTCAGACTGTCCACATGTACGACTCTCAACATCCTTGGGGTTTTTTTTCCTCTTTTTATTCCTTATGCTGAAGCTTGTTTACCTCTATTCTCATGAATGTCATTGTTGACTTTATGACAGAGAATCCAAAAGGAGAATAAACAGAGGGATCAAACCATTGTACCAAAAGGTGGTGCTTTCTCTATTCAGCAAGATAAGAGTAAATGAAGAGGCAAGAGAAGTGCACACCTTACTTGCAATAAGGTTTATCTTATTTTAGTGATCTTGATTGAGGCTTCCAGAATCATATTGATAAGAATGATAGATCCAGAGGCTCTGGATATCTGTCTATTAAGCATTAGATCAAATCTGTTGATTGATTCCACAGATCTTCATATGATGAGGAAGAGAAAGAGCCAACAGCTGTTGCAGATATAGGTTATAACAGGACCTGAAGCCTGAATTTGAAATAGGAATGAAAAGCTCCATCCCCATTTCCCAATGCCTGTTTTATTAGCTTCTTGATTTTTAAGATTCCTCCTGTGTTGTATATGATTGCCATGCTATAGAATACAATTTGCACAGGTGTTCAGCCTGGAAGTTAAGGGCAACACAGTATCTCAAAAAGGTTGACTAAGGTAAAGATGCAGTTTTAGTAAAAAATTAATTTGTAGTGTTGAAGATGGATAATAAACCTTTCCCACATTGGTCCATTAAAACCAAGAAGTAGCACTGCACAGGAACAAAATGCTGGAGGCAGTGCTCAGGCATCTGTAACAAGTCCTTCCAGAAGAGAGAGATTACCAAAAAGTATTTCATAATTTTACTTCCTGGCAATAGAGAATGCAGAACCTAATGACTCTAATGCTGGGGTTTTCTTTCCAGCTCCATAGGATTGCATTATGGGGACTCTGACTTCTTCCTTTATCGCTGAATGGAAAACAGAATAGCTTTTGCCAGCTCTCCAGAAGTAGTACGCCTGCAGCTGTGAAATGCATTTAACACATCTCTTAATTGCTATGTGAGCAAAAACTTGCTGGAATCTTCATATATGGGTGCACAGATAATAATAAAGTAAGATATGATGTAATGCATTGTAGCTTACATGCTTCAGGAAATTCTGCGATTAATAAGGGAACACATTTATTTTTCCTGGAATGCAAAACATGTAAGCAACCAATCCTTTCTTTCGAGACTTGGCTCCACCTCCTCTTTCTCCTTCCCAGAGTATTACATCTGGTTTTGATGGTGTAAAGATGTGCCTTACACCACAACCTCAAGCTAAAGGCAAGTTGATATGAAAAAAGAGAGTAGATATGTCTCAATCTCCTCCAAACAAGGAGAAAAAAATTGGTTTTATATTGTTCAATAAGAGAGAAACCTGACAGAAATTTTCTCGCTTAGGAATTTAATATGCTGAGATTTCAGATGCAATACTACAGTGTCCAGATAAGTTCCCACTTTACAACACCCACCTTACTGAAAGCCAAACCTCATTTACTTTTGATTCTACAGCCACAGAATCTTGTGCATCATCCACCCCTGGTGCACTTCTTGCAGAAGTGTGTGTGTGTGTGTGTGTGTTTATACACATACATATGGTAACATCCTAGGTCAGATTACTTTCTTTTCCTGAATTGTGCTTTCTTTCACGTGATTTAATAGGTGGAAACCAAGAGGCAAAATCTGTATCTATATTAGCAAAGCAGCACTGGATAGAATTTGTAAACCTCCAGGTCAAGTTAAAACACAGGATCAAATCTGTGGCTTGTGTAAAAGTCTATATTCAAAGAGGAATCAAAGACTTGTATTGATCTAGATAAGCATCTTACAGTGGTACGATTTGGCAATTGCATGTTATTCTATAAAAAGACAAGTTTCTTTTCCGTGTGACAGTGATGAACATTTATGCCACTATGTACAGAACTCCCTTTATTTAGAAACAAAACATCACTGGCACTTCCACTTAATTTTTAAGGCAAACAAAGGAACTTTAAAAAAAAGAAGCACCATTCCCTGTCTTGATACGAGGTACTTCACTACATACATATAGGTCAGTTACCTGTCCACGTAACTCTCAAGGCACCTGGGAAAGAAGTGGTTTCCCCAAAACATGAAAAATGTCTAGGTTTTCTAATACTGGCCACACCGTCTCAAACTCTGCACGTTTCCCTGCAAAGAGAAACCACCCCTTGTCTGATAAGTGCACTCATATGTAAAAGGAAGCAGCAAAGTCACCGGTGGGAGTGAGGTAGGGCAAAGGCTTGAGAGATCCTTGTACAGCCCCAGCAAATCCCCAGGGACTGCACTCACCGGCTGTTCCAGAGGACAGAAGAGGAAAGGGGAGGAAGGGCAAGGGAAGAGGTGGGAGGAAATCTCTTCTCCTAACAAGAAATTCCTTCCTGGGCTTAAGAAATCTTTGTCAGTGAAGATTTAATAAAATGGTATGAAAAGTTTCATTTTCTTCAGAAAATTCTCAGCCAATGTAAGAGATTTGATGAAGCCCTTCTGTGAGATACGAGATGAAGCCTCCAGGGTTGAAATATTTCTAAACACACTGACACCCAGAAACCTTGTTTAAGAAATACTAAATTGTTGAAATATTTCAAAAGAATTACAATAGTTGTAAAAAAAACAAACAAAAGAAGCATCATCCACAATAACACCTTCAGAGCATGCTTGGATTGAGGTACCTTTTTTAAAGTAACAGCAATGTTTGGTGCTGTGACTCTGCATGGAATGATCATTTCTCTTCCCACAGTCATGTGTATTATTTTAGGTATATCACTGTGCATCTCCACAAATGGATTGCCTGTATCTGCAGGAGAAGAAAAAGGAAAAGGTTAATATGTGAAATCTTAAGACAGTGTGTGGAAATTGTAACGGTGCATACAGCCTTGAAAGAACAGACTAACCCCATCCACGATGAAAACTAGACAAAGTCCTCCAATCAGTCTTCTGTTTATTTTTATCTAAATAAGTTCAGCAAAATATTATTAAGTATTTGAAAATATATTTATCACTCAATATCAGTAGCAGTACTTTGGTATCTCCATTAAAATCCAGGACAGTTGAAGTACATTTTTCCCATTACAGCACCATCTGTAATGATGCTGAGATATATGTTTTTTATTTCAGGGCATTTCTATTTTATTATCACCAGGAGAAGTAATTATATGGGAAGTGAGCTGAACTTCACTTATCAGGAAACCACTACACTGGACATGTTCCTGCTCTCTGCAAGGAAACTGATGGGGAAAACTCACGTTGACTTCACCAGGAGAAAGAATCTACTGTGATTATGCAGCCATATTTTCAACTCTGAGAATACAGACTAATGAGACTTAATTATTCTCCTCCTTCCCACTATCACAATACCTATATGTCTCTTTTTAAGTGACAAGGTAAATGAAAATGCCAGGAAAACATTAATTCCTTTTGACTCAATAACTAAAGCTTGGCAGAGTAATTTACCGTCCCTTGAACAATCCCTGTAACAAAGGACATTGTCATAAATAGCTTGCGCTGGGAACAGGGAACATTGCTGCTGCTATTGTTTGGGCCACTTAACAAAGAGGGGCTCAAGCCACAGGCTCTGGCTCCAAATCTTCTTTGCAGGTGTTCAGATCTGAAGGTTCGGTTTGACTCACATCGCAGATAGACTACCTCAAAATTCACATAAGGTTTGGGTTTTAACTCTTAAAAAAGTGGAACATTCAGATCTTAGTTCTGCCCTTATCTACAGCTCCAATGTGTTTTCAGGCAAATCCTATTATTTTCAATCAGTCAAAAACCTTACAAAAAACAATGGAAATCTTTCTTGGATAAGAAATGAGTAAAGCTAGCAAGAACTGACCCTTTATAAAACCTCAAATTGTAATACTTTATTCAAGTGTTCTGGTCCCAGACTTCTGCATGTTGACCTATGTTCACTCAAGTAGTTCTTCAAATACATTACTTTTGCTTTTCTTTCAAAAGTATGATCTGCACTTCCCAGTGTCATAAAGCTGTTGTGCCCTTAGGATCTCCTTTTCTTATTGTATGAAATAATATTTTTGTTTGAGATATCAAACAGGAAGAAAAGCAAAGTCTACTTGAATTTATACTGGGGAGAATCCTAAGGTAGAGGATCTCAAGTGTACCCCAGGATACAGAAAAAGTTTTCCTAAAGGGGTTTAATGAAACTGTTACAAAAACTTTCTGAAATGAAAGCCACAATGCTTTATTTAATAATAGGTGTTAAATGTCCACTGAAATCGCAAAAGGAACTTATGAGTAATAGGGGATGCGTATGTAATAAAAAATACCCTAAGGACTTGTTAGGTTGACATTTCCTCTGCTGTACGATTCAAGGAAAGACCAAGAATGAACCTGTTTGTAGCACGGTGAAAAGAACCTTTTTTGTTCCAGGGGCTGCAGCCACAGAAGAGGTCACCTGCCCCTTAACATCACCAGACAAACGGATTTACTACTCCCCAAAGACTCGTTTGTCTTTGTCACAAAATTAAGAGCTCCTGCCCAAAACCAGCAAGCTTTGCAAAGTAGTTTCCTGTATCATAATCTCCAGATCATTACAAGCGTGAGGAAGAGCTGTTCTGGGGACTACCGGTGCTGTCTGCAGACACAGTGTCACCACTGACTGATGCCAATATTGAGGCGGTGGGGGCTGTGCGGCTCAGACCTCACCGAATTCCTGCCCATCTGAAGGCAGGGACAGGAAACAAGCACAAAACACCACGATTGGCTTTTTTTTTTTTTTTCCTCCTTCTTCAATGGAAATGCACATTCGAGCCTGGAGAAGTCAATGAAGTGCTCTGTAAAAGTCAACTAAACGCCCTGGCTGCTCTCAGTAGGCTTTAAAGCTCGGTCACAGCCTTTCTTGGTAGAATCCCCGCAGTGGTACGCCAAGGCGTCTCCGTGCCCCTGTTATTCGCGTGCAGAGCTCCCATTGACATCACCGGGGACTTCCGCCGTGGGCCGGAGGGCAATTGATGGCCCCAAGTGCTCCAAATGTCTTCCTGCTTTTGATTAAAAGAAATACGCATCATGTTTCCTAGCACAGTTTTGTTTTCATAATGAGTGTGGAGGCTTTTCCTGATTCCCTTTGATTTTATTCTCCTTCCGTCTTAATGGCCATAAGGGGATACTCTCGGTGCCTCAAGACCAGAATCTGATGCAGACTCTACCAGCCTGGATCAGGCAAAGCCGAACCCACAGCAGAACCAGGGCAGGTTATGCCACGTTGGCAGGGTATGCCAACAACGTGGAAACCTTCTGTCCCCCAAATAACAGCAGTCTTGCTTCTTTTTTTTCCCTCTTTCCCTCCCATCATAGTCCTAGGTATTGCCAGTGGCTCCTGCTACATTTCCTCCCAATTCCTTCCTGAGTGGAAGTAAATGCCATCCTTCCCCGAACAGCTGGCTGGCAGCACATCTGGGATGACCTAACCTCCTGCCAGCAGTCTTCTGGGCCAGCTTCACTCACTTTTATGTTCAGAAACCTCTAGACATAAAAGGAACATCATGGATTGACCTATCTTGAAGACCACATCCAAGTTACACATTCAGCTCCATCAGGATTTGGAATGGAAGATCTAAGAGGGTTGATCTTTCTTTAAAAAAAAATTTTTCATTGGTTGGTTTTGCTTTTGTTTTTGTGGTTTTTTTTTTTTGCTTCAGAGCTGCCTGCAAGAGTAGCAAAATGAAAGATGGACAGCCAGAATATTTGCATATGCTAAAGGTTACTTTAAAAGTCAGTTTAGTGTATTTTTAAATTGTGCCTGGAATTAATGACTGTGTGCTGGTTTGACTGTGTTCCTTACAATATCTCTTAGTTACAATCAATGTGAAACCACAAAGAGCATTCATGAAATCACAAAATCCATGAAGGTCACTTGCTATATTGTTGAAGAACATAAATAGCAGCTTTTTATTAAGCTGGTTGGCAGCCAGATACAAACTTGATAGGAGGCTTAACACAAGCAATATTATGTCTGGTATCAGTAACCTGTCTAGACTATTTATGGGGTTTGCACAAACAACTAAATTAGCCAACACTTGAAATGCCAAAATCAGAAAAGGTGGAGAGGTTCTTTATTTCCACAGGCTTCAGCTACTGTTCATGGGTTTGGTTTGTTTTTAATAATCTGAACTATGTGAGTCAGATTACACATACATTTGCAAGAAGAAAAGTCTCTGCAGGAAAATCTGAGCTCCTTGAAATCTCTGAAAGTTTGTCTTCTGAAGTTCTTCCAAAATACCTACTTACACTTGGCTCATCATTAAGATTTTTTTCAGGCTAAAAGAGCCAAAACAGTTTCCTCACATTCACATAACACTCTTTTCCCTCGTGCACGTGAAGAGGACCAAAGTCTTCACTAAAGTACAGACATGCAAACTTCATTAAAGTTAATAGGTAAATTGCCAAATTCCCCTTTCCATTGCAGGGATTCACCCTAACTAACTTTATTTATCCCAGCTAAATTAGTAGGGCTGTTTAGAAGTAATTTGAGGAGAACCTTGCACACCAAGAGTGGCTCTCATCTCACTTACACATCTAAAGTATAGAGATTTCTCACCAAGCTACGTGGCCAAACTGTTAGTGTTGTCACCGGGGAAAACCATGGGACTCATCTGACCTGTTTTAGACATCTGTTTTACAATGAGATTAATCACGCCTTAGGAAACACACCTGTTCAACCTGCTCACATATAGGCTTCTATGTTCCTTAAAAAAAATTCCCATTTTGTATGTCTGGAAGCACACCACCTATCTGCAAGAAGGGCTTTTCCACTCTTGCCTCTTAGCCTGTAAAATAATACTCTTCAAATTCAAACGATTTCTAAACCTCGAAGGAAGGCTTGAGATATAAATTAATAATCACAGAAGTCCAGGAAAAAAAAATAGAAATAAAAAGGCGTGGAATACTTTATATCTGGAGCACATTCAGACACAAAGCATTGCTAGCATAGTTGTACAGTGATTTTTAGGTGGGTTGGTTTGTTTTCCTTTGGGGCTAGTTATACTATGCTATCATCAATGTAGGTCCATAACGCACATAAAAAATACAGTTAAAACTCTTAAGGAAAAACTTTCTTACCCACATAAGCCAGGAAATCCACCCTAGAGCAATTACTATGTCCAGAAAGCGATGTCTAGAAATGCTACTGGGCATTAGGAACACTTTTTCAGATGTATCCCTCCCTCATGATAGTTCATCTTGGAAATATTATTTCTGTTTCAGTAGGAGCTATAAACTTTGGTGAGGAAGAAGGACCTTGGAGGGCTTAGTGCATGGCCTTTGATGCTGCCAAGACATCCACACATGCTCTGCTCAACACCGTGTACTGTGATGTGAAGTCCATATACACGCAATGACAAAAGCATGGCAGTTATAGGTGATTGACGTCAGCAAGTCCTAGAGGGCTCTGTTTTGTAACAGGAACCTCATTAGACACTAAAAAATGTGTCCGCGTACTTGATACAGCTGTAGCATAGCTTAATTTCAACTAGTTTCCTTTTCGTAACAGGAGCACTATCATATTTTTGACTCTGACAGTGTAAGCCAAAACTGTACTGCTCATACACTAAAACTGTGCCAAAAGCAAAGACAGAAAAAAGGCACAGGGGAGGAAGAGTTTCCCAGGCCTCAGCAGGTTCTTCTGTCAGTACATTATTTCTGAATAAGAAGAAGAAAATCTCCCTTTCTGTTGGCTTTCAGGGTGTTTTGTCTTACTGCTTTTTTCACCTGTTGAATTATTTTGATTTTGATGCTTCTGATCTTAAGAGACTCTTTAGGGGAACTCTTTTGATACCCTTTCTGTTCTGCAACACAGTACCTTTGGGGTTACAGGAGTCAATCCATTCAAGCTAAATCTTAAATCCCTGTCAGTTTTGGGGCTGGATCCAGCTATCTGTCAACAAGTGGACCTCCCAAGGAGATGCCAGACGGTCAGCACTTGCAGAATACAACTCTAGAGTTCAAAAAGGCACTCAAAACCCCAGATGTTTTGGCACTTCGAAGGCTTACATTTTGAAGCATTCACTAATGCTAAAGCCCTTCATTTTGGACTGTCCAATCTGAGACACATCTCAAGCCAAATATCCAAAACTAGTGGACATGTTAGACATTCCAGGCATTGGTGAGTCAAGTACTCTCAGGACTTGTACCTCTAATTACCCAGCTCTGATTTGTGTCACCTGACTTAAATCATCTCAAAGCAAGACGTCTATTTCTAAGCTTGTTCTCCAGATGCCTTGTAAAGTCAGTGATGAGAAATACGTACCAGAAGGTCCTTTCTTCTCTCTGTTAAGCACAGAAAGAGAATAGACAACTCACTCAGCCTAGAGGTCTGATTTTAAAATGGAATATTTTGAACGGTGCTTGATTGAAGTACCAGTACATGTCTCATTTTGCAAGGAAAAGTGTGCGGTCAGAAGGCATGCACGGCAGGAGTGTGAGGAGAGACAAGGAGAGGGAGAACATTCACTAAGAAATGAGCTAATACCCTAGTACAACTTCACTTAGAGAAGAATTCTCTGTTGCAACAGAATTAAGATATTACTCTTGTATATTAATAGCTGAAAGCTGTCTTCATCACAGGAAGTAGCAACACTTCAACTTGAATCAAAGTTTGTTTAAATTCTTGCAAAAATCTAACCTTGATATATCAATGTAATTGAACCGATATGCTTTTTCTCTGTCACACCATGGCAACAATCGATCAAAGGCAAGAGATGATGAGAGAATGAAGAGAACTGCACATTTTTTGAAGAAAGCAAATGAACTCCAGCAACTGGAAAAGAGTGTCTTGGAGATACCAGGCAGGCAGAAATAAAAGCCTTTAGCACTGTCCCCAGGGAAATCTACAGAGGTTTCAAAACAGCCTGCTGATAATTTGGTGTTTCTTGAATGTCTTTATTCTATAATTATCTCTTTTCAAGCAGAAAATTCCCCATGCCTCACTCCAACGTATGCAGTGAATGTTCATTACAAATCTTTCCATTTTTACTACCACTAAATGCTGCGGTTGTGTAACAAAACAAAGATCCGAGCAGTTTTGGGTCCGAGATAGTGGAGAAATTGGCAAAGAGGCTTTGCTTCATTTCAGATTTTTTCCCATGCCTTGTGGTGGAAGTCAGGCCATCAGTTTTCTTAGAGCAAAGTCCAAGGCTCTTAAGAGAATTCATTTCCCTCACTTGATGTCTCAATTCCTGAGCTGTGTGTGGTCAAAAGTTGCTGCAGTACATACTGCGCGCTCACTCCCCCGTGCAACTCAGTAGTGACCTCTCCAGCTGAAAGAAGGGTGGTGTCAGGACTAGCTCCCACAAGAGAAGTCACCAGCCTGCCCGTTCTCCATCACCCAAACACAGGGCTTCTTCAGAAACGTTTCAAGTCATCCTGGGGCACTGGGACTTGCATTCTCCATCTCATCGTCCTGCGTCTTGGTTTTGTCTATAGAAGCTCATCTTCTGCCATAGCATACACTCCTTACTGACCCAGAGGACTTACTGGGTTTATTGTTTTGTTGTGGTTTTTTTTTTTTTTTTTAAATCCAGTTCATATTCAGTATCACTCTAATTACGGAAATGAATAACATTTTTAAAACAATAAGTGATGACTTCCTGTACAAACAATATCAACTTTCCTGATTCAGATTCTGTGTTTGTAAATAGCAACTATTTGTTCTCATCTGCAGCATGCTAAGACATGGGAAACAGGCACCTCGGTGATCCACATGGAGCTAATATGGGAAATGGACTGACACAACGTCCTGCCACAGGAAACAATACAAAACTAGGAGGGACCCAAATTTTACAAATGTTTATTTCCTAAGCACCCACAAGTTCATTTAAAATAAAACTAAACTCAAGAACGGTAGTCTTGACAGAGGATTTTGTCACTCCCGTCTCACCTCCACTTGCGCCAGATAATTGAATTTCATGCATGTTCACAGGAACAATGACTTACATTAAGAGATTCCTTAAGTATTTCCTTTCCAAATGCTAACACTACACTGATCAGAAAGGGTGAGTTTGGGTACTCGGTATCTTGTATCTTTTCAACTTACTCAACAATTCTTCCTGAAATTGTAGATTTTTTGGAGGACTAGTATCCCTTTTCCCACCTTAGGACAAAGTGACACTTTCAATAGGCATTAAATGAGCAGTCACCTTGCAGCCTCCCTCGTTATCAGGGGTTTGCCCTAACTGTCATACGTGCTTGGTAGGACACAATCAACACTTAAGTGTTAAGAAATCGGTTTTCAAGCAAAAGGATTGTCAAATTCAGAAAATTAAGATGCCAAAGAGATCTAAGCTTAATACAGGTTTGTCCCTTAAACATTTTACTGTTTTTTGGCAACTAAGGTAGGAGGAGAAATGTAATCTAATCCTATATTCAACAGTGACAACAACATTTAATGACTGAATGTCCTTGAAAAATCAACAAAAATAAGACACCCAGGCGGTCTTACTTAACTGACTGGGGGTGGGGGAGACGACTGTCCAAAAAAAACCTATTTCTCCAATGATATGTTTCTCTTCCATCACCATGCAAATTAGGCAGGTAACCTTGGTTCACATAGATCTAACTGAGGATCTCTTCCAGATGCAAGCAAGCTACATACAATTCAGGAAGCAGTCAAGAGTTAGAAAGACTGGTTGTTTCTTCCATTTGTAAAAATTCAGGATCCAGAAAAATTAACACTTCAAACAGGAAAGGGATCAAGAGAACGTAAAGGAATCTCTTATATCGTAAAATGGGTTTAGCAGAGAGGTTCTCAGTCAGAGACACAACCATCCTTGCTCTTCTCATGTGGTGAATGGAGAGGATTGTGGGTAGATCTCAGATAGAGATGACATCCAAGGTGGGAGGTTCAAGAAGGTCCCATGATGGGAAACTTGCAAAAGTCATCCAAGAAAAGTGTAAGTTTTCCTAGGCAGCGGAAAACGTTGGTCACTAAATGAATAACCTACTTTGGTTATGCTTCCATGGATGCATCTGTAGTTGGATATCCAGTAAATTATATGGAAATAGTTGGGTGAGAAAAACACTGTGGTATATTTCGATGAAAGAAAGCAGGATGAACAGCATGAATTATTCAATAACTCTCAATAAAGCAACACACAATAATGGGGGGAGCTATCTTATTTCCTATCACTGTAGTGAGAGGTCCATTTCATTCTGCTTTTTCACAGCACCAGTCCCACTCTTTGTGTCACAAAATGAAAACAAAGGCTAATTCACTCTGATGTGAACTCGTTAGAAGCAGCAGACACATAATTTGGAGAACTTCCAGTTGCACATTCTCTGTAATATGGGCTTTCAAAATCTGTGAATCCTGATATCTTGCAGTAATCTATTAATTTTATTCTGTAAAAATCAAGAAAAACTAAAATATAAAATTAAACTAAATCCCTAATGCGTTTATAATTTTTTCTTTTATTATTGTGTCTATTGCATTCAACTATTCTGAGAAGTGTCTGATTAATATCCTGGAAGAAAACAGGACCAGAAAGCAATTTCTGTTATAGCCTAACTGACCTAATTCCAGCATTTCCTATACATTACATGATACTTGTTTGCTGAACACAATTCTGTGTTTAGTTTGATTCCATTTATTCTAGATTTTTACAATCTGTGTAACATGGACTACAGAGTACATTTTGGAATGTTACTTAATAAGCAAATATTAATTTTCTACAGCATGAGACAATTCAGTGATCTGGATAGACAGCTTTGGCATCCTTCAGCTGCCTAGAAATCTAGAATCTTAACACAGACAGGTTAAAGTGGACATTGTACCAGTTATATGATTTTCAACAGTCATCATCCAATTCTGTAAGGTATGATTTCTCTGATACCCATTTCACAGATTCACTTCTAGTCTACTTCCATGTGGAGTTCTATTTACTCCAGTAAACTGGTTGGATTCGGTCTTTGTCTTTCTTCATTTTTCTTCCTAACAGATAAAACTCTAGCATCTGTATTTGCAAGCTCTGAGAAAGCAGATTTAATACATTAATTGGTAAATTATTATGACATTTTGCGAGGCTGAAAATATCATTCAAAACCCTGAACTGCCTTATTTGTCCATTTTGCTGTATTGAAGTGCAAGTACCAAGAAGTGTTAAAAAACGTAATCTTACCGTTAATAAATACATAGACTGTAGATTCCTTCTTCTTTTTCGCTGGACTTGTTGGGTATTTGCAGCTATAGTTTCCAGTGTCACTTGCTTGAGTTCTGCTCAAGGTCAGACTACTGCAGGACTGCTTCCCATTCCTTCCACAGGCATATTTAATTACTTTCAGCCTTTTGCTGTCCTTACTTAGAGTTTCAGGCAAAGACCATGAATGAACCATTTCCCCCCTGCAAATACAGATAAGGAAGCAGAAACAATTATGTTGGGCTGCAATTATATAGCTCCAGTTCCCAAGCTTTCTTTTTATTATATCAGGCTATTTCTGGGGTTCTCTTTTATCTTGTTTTCCAAAAACAACAACAGAAACAACAAAGAACTATTAAACAATTGCCATTGAAGTTCATTCCCCACCTTTCCCCACAACATAAGGTTTCATTTTTTTCTAATTTCAGTTACAAAAAAAGAAAGTGTCAGGTGTATGAACTCCCAGCCAAATTATCAGAATCCAACTCAGCTGGTTACCTGCAGGTGAGATTTAAAGTCTGGCCTGCTTGAACAACGTGCTGTGTGCCATTTATACTCAGCTCAGGAACTTTTAGTTTTGATCCTGAACTAGTTCCTAGAAAAACAAAGAAAAAAAAAAACATTAACAATGACAAATCATCCTGTTCCCAGTCCACTCACATTTATGATGTTATACTGGAAGGGGAAAGCAAAGAAAATGGGTTGCCTCCCCCCGCCCCCCATACATGCTCTCTTCCTCTGAGCAAAATCCCACTGTCCTGACTCAGGACTCACACAATCTTCCATGAGAATTACTCAGGAAAGAAAGTAGAAAGCAAGCTATGCAAGTTTCGGTCAAAGACTTTGCTCTCAAATTGTTCACTGAGCATACCCTGAAGAAAGTTCAGGACCTTGTGGCTACACATCTAACCGAGGAAGCGTGCCCTCAAGCACCACTGGCTGCATTTCCTTAGGAAACACCACCATGGCAGCCCCTTCAATGGGAAGGGCAAAAGTCAGCCTCTTCCACGGCAAGAGCCACGTATTGACCTCTAAGATACCGAACTCTCACTCAAACAACTTGCTGCAAAGCTGGAACTGCTCTGGAAGGAGTGAAAGGGGATTGAGGATCTTCCCTTCCTGACTGGAGGTCACAGCACTGTTACCTACGGTCCCTCACTAGCTGCAGGCTTCCTTCCAGTGAAGTGGTGTCAAAAGGTAACTGGACAGCTCTACAATAAATTTTGAGAACAAGATCAAGGCACCTCCAGACCAGATTTGCTGCTTTTTGAGCAGGCAAGTATGCCAACATGGCCCCAGTCATGGCCAGACCATTCTGGTATGGGTGAAACCCAGGATATCAGAGTATAACATGAGGTGACTTAGGACACTTGAAAACATCCAGGCAGGCTTCTCACAGGCCATGTGAAGGCAATTTTTAGGAATTCCATGGAAAAACACCATGGTCAGAAGACTAGAGGAACACCAGACCTTCCCTCTCATCAAGCCAGCAAGTGCTCGAAAGGCAAAATGTTTTATCTTTGCCCCATAATAGCTATTGCCACAAAAGCTTTCATGGCAAGCAGACAGAAGTTCATGCCTAAGGGAAGAAACAGTCTTTGACCCATCCCATCACCCTCACACTGACAGCGAAGTGTTCCAGAAGCTAGGAACATAACAAGAGAATATTTTGAAACAATTAAAGTTGAAAACCAGTTTAAGTCTGAATCTGGACCCTAGTGCAACATGTGAAGATTTCAGTGTTGGGAGAGAGGAGCAGAGATTAGCTCAGATCACTTTACTCCAAGAGAAAGTATTTGTCAACATACGAGGGAAGCAGCATCATGTAAACAAGGGTAATGCAGATTTTCCACTAGAACTCAATCAAATACAGTTTCAGTTTAGCTATTTTAAGCCCTTCCAAGAGGTCCCTGCCACAGCCAAATATGAACAGCTGTATGCACCAAACATAGTAGGAATACGTGAAACTTATTTGGCTGCTATGGGTCACCCACTGGAAAGGCCTCCCTCTTTTGTTGACTATAGAAGGAACTTTTGGACACCAACTCCAGCTGAGATTGGCCACTAAATTTCAGCTGTATAAACCCTCCAAAGTCAATGGCTGCTCCAAATTTAGCAGCTTTCACGCAGCAGCAGATGTAGCCTCAGATTAGAGGCTGAATATCAAAACTTTGTTCTGTGATGTGGACTTGAACTCCTTCAGTCCGAGAAAGGCTTAGAAGCCAAGTCTTCACTTATGGAAAGAGATGCTAAAAGTACAAGGATTTTGTACAAAAGGTAAAGAGGCACTGCCCTCATCTGCTGGTTTTTGAGTTGGTTTTTTTTGAAGAGCTGGCTGTGCTCTATTTGTATTTCCTACTGATTCCCTGTAACATTGGTAGAGACAAGAGGTCTAAATCAGCATCTGGGACTACCTAGCACAATCCATGAAAAAAAGCAAATAGCTGATTAGGGCAGCAAAACTGTTTGTTAGACGTCTTCAGAGATCAGTTCTCTTCCTTAGCAATACAGGAAATGTACACTGTAGGGGTTAACTAACTTTCAACTAACCTTTGGCATCTAGGTTAGTTACATTTATCTGCATTTTTCTTTTTAGCCCTGTATATCTTATTTAAGTTGTGGCTCCAATAGTTTTCCTGTATATACTATCATCCATCCCTATTCAAAACAAGATTTAAAGGGTACACTTAAACATACACATAAACTAAATTATATCTCACTTGAACAGGTTTCAAGCAAGGGCATAAGAAGTTTTCAGAATAAAGAGGTCCTCTGAACTGCACCACAAATATTACTAGAAATTTGAATGGTGATACCATACAAATACACAGACTTCCTCTGCGATTTGCCTAGACAATCATACTTCTAACAAGAAATGAATATATGCTGCTAGCTGTTAAGAGGGGAGAAAAAAGATGCAGGAAATCTTTGAAGAAGCAATTTGTTGTGTGATATATTGCAAACATACATTTTTCTCACCCACCATTTACGGACCTCATCTCTGAAACACTGGGTCTCCCAAAGAGTGCACATGATTTTATGGGATAGTCTCCCATAGATGCTTACAGTCTCTGAGTCTACTCATTTGCTGTTCTGAAATAATGTCCCTGAGGCTAAACGCTGAGAAATTGAGATAAGACTTTACAAGAGCTTAGGCAGCTTCTTGAAGAGCAGCACAAGCACTTTGGTTGAGAGGATTTGCCAATGTCCTCCAACTAAACAATCTGACGGTTTCATGAAACTACCGTGTTCCTGCATTTCATCCATATTCCTCTTGTCATCCCAGAATTAGAGGCTCTCCCAAGAAGGCAGCGTTTATATCCAGCTTTATGAACCTTCTTCCTTACTTCAGGGGGCAACCTGGCCTCAAGCTTCCCTGAACCGTTCCTTATTTCAGGCTCTAGAAAAGCTGAAAGCACACAACGATGTTTACAAATAGTTCAATATGTATGAAAAAAACATCAGTAATGGTCTGCCAGAGGAACCCACCGGGATCAAAGCCCAGCTGTTAGAGTTGCAACACTCAACCTAGTTGCTGGAGAGCAACATGTAGGTTGCTTCCAGCATAAAACTGATGGAAAGGTGGAAAATCCATGTGAGTGACAGGCACTGAGAGCAAGGCAGGAGAGCAAGTCTGCGGTCCCCGGTCATGACTGGGGTGCTGAGTGTTTGGCTTTGCTCAGCACCAGCACCGGCACCCTGCCCAGGAGCAAAGCCAGCCATGCAGCACCATGCCCCATGCCGAGACCAGGAGACCAGCCCTGGGAATGTGGGCTGCTGTTGTTTTCAAAGTCTGCCAGAGGTGAAGGGCAAGAAACCATTATAAATATTACAGACTTTTCTCTTGACAACTCTACAGTGATGTAAGCAAAGACATCCCCATGAAAATCTCAAGATCCATCTTAAATTAAGCATACAAACCAAGACAGCCTGGAAGCCCATATGTCAGAAGGTCTGCCTCAGAGTTATTAAAATCAAATGAAAAAAACCAACCCAGATCTTTTCATCCCATCCTGCAGGCAAAAAAAGAAACCCAGATATACTGGATACGTATTCAAGCTTTTGCCCTTTAACACGTATTACGTATATCTAAAAGACACCGCAGTATTTGCAAATATTGTGGGTGGGATCTTAAGGAGTGCTTAGTGTTTGTCTAACTTTGCTCCCATTGATAAAAGCCAGAGTTTCATAATTGATTTCAAGTACATTTTAGACACTTAACTCCAGTAGCTAATCATATTAATATTCAAGAGCTAACATCAATGTGTTTGGCATGATGTATCAGATTTGTTATATATTCATTTATTTTGTTTTTCACTGACAAAAAGCTGAAGTAAAAGACCTTATTTCAAGCCAATATTGGTGCTTTTACAAGTATGCGAGACAACACTTTTACCAGCAAGCTAAGTCTTGAAGAAAAATAGCTTTATTTGACATCCTATCTATTCATGGGTCATTAGCTTCCTTACGTTTTTAAATGCTTCAAAACTGATGCAGAGTACAAATGTGATAGAGTTTGACATGTTTACCAGGAAAGAAAAAGGAAGAAGAATAGCAGGGAAATTCCTACTGTCAATATTTAGAAGCGGATTATGCCTTCTATGTACCTTCTCCGGGCATTTTACTTGACACTGTCTTTTCTGAAGGGTCATGGCTCAACAGGACACGTTCACTTATCATTGTGCCTGTCACTAAGCGACCATCAGCAGCCTACCCTCACACTGACCTACATTGGGGGGTGCAACTTCTTTTCATGTGACAACAAGAGAACTAATTAATCCTGATAACTGAGGAATCTCCTCCCATAGGGAAAGGGGTGATTTTGGGGGGCATATTCTATTTGTTTCGGAAGGCTTATTAGATACATGTGAAAGCCAGTCAACAGGGTTGCTTAATTAATGAGCAAACATTAATTTAGATTGTGAAAGTTAGCCATTCTGTCTAAAATAAGGGAAGGACAAATATTTTTTTTTAAGAAAGCAAAGGGTATAATCTGTAATTTACAAGGGAACAAAAGAATAAACTTTCTTCAGTTATTTTCTGCCTTGCAAAAAAAAGTGATCCTCTTCCTGAATGAAGTAAACAAAAATTTGAACTTTCTATTAATCAAAAAAACTGATTACAATTAATTAAGAAAAAAAAGATAAAATAAATTAACATGCATACATTTTTCCAATATGATGTGTGAGTTCAGTTCTACAGACAAATGAGTAAACATGCACACGTGATCAGCCTTCCACTGATTTCAGCTAAATCTTGATTCCTCTTTAAAGTATAGATCTGCTGAACACAAAATCGGGACCATGTTCTGGATTATTATCCCCATTCTGATTTTTCCAGCTTTTACTTTTAAATTTCCTTTCTTTCATACTGAATTTGTGCTACTTTTGACTAAAGAAAGTAAACCCAAAAGCTAGCTTTAAGACTTAATTTAAAAAACCCACAGTATTAGAAGTTATTAGAAATTTCCTTGAAGTTAACAGGCTTGTTGGCTTTTTACTTTTAACGTCTTTTTCATAATTTGAGGCTGAGTGACTGTCTTCCAACCACTCTAGTTATCCTGAACATGTTGACTAATCTTTTTTCACTTGCACAATGAGAGGTTAAGGAGAATGATCAGTTT